GTGCTGGCCAGGCTGGCATGATCACGACTCTGTCTCTGCTAGTTATGCTCCACGGATGCAGCCTAGGATCCAATTTGCCTTCCTTGCTGCAGCAGCACACTGTTATCATGGTATCATGTTATCTATCATGTTATCATGGTATCATGTTATCTATCATGTTATCATGGTATCATGTTGTCATGTTATCTCGTCCACCAGCATTTCCAGGTCCTTCTCACCCAGGCTCCTCCTCGGACAGATGGATTCCAGCCTGTCCTGGGACCTTTGGTTATGCCATCCCAGAGGCATAGCCTTGCCCTTTGTTAATCTTCATTCTGTTCTTTCTGTCCCACTTTTCCAGCCTGTCCAGCTCTCCCTGTAAGGTTTCCCTTCTGACACGTTCAGTGCACCTCCCAGTTTGGTGCCACCACCAGATTTGGTGAAGGTGCTTTCAGTCCCATCATCCAGACCATTGAGGAGGATGTTAAACAGCTTGTGGCCCTGTAGGGATTGGGTAGGCAGGAATTCCTCCTGAGATCTTGCAGGACCAGAAACCCCCTTGGGTTTGGTAGGTGTGAGCATCTCCTGAAGCTGATCAAAGCAGGTGGAAGTCATTGGTGAATGAAGAATTCAATGGAAAACTATGCCAAGAACCAACCTCCTTCAGGTAAGCATCAGAATTCAGAGTTTGGTGAAGGAGCCTCTGCTCCTTTGTATAAATCCTATAAATCCTGAATCAGCTCTTTGAGCCAGAGGTTCCCACTTGGACTCAGGGAGAGTCAGAGAAGCTGAGCTCTAACATCAGCAGGAGCTGGGTGCCAAACTCAGCCCCTTACAGAGCTGAGGTATAAAAAGCTGTGTTTGCTTTGGAGAGAGGCAGTGCCTCTGAGCCATCCTTCTCCTTGGCTACAGAGGAAAGAGCTGAAGCAGCGGCTCCCCTGGGATTTCAGTGAGCCTTCTGCACATTTCCTCTTTGCCCAAATTGAAGTGTTCTGGGGATGCATAGGCTGGGAATGGCACTAGGGTGTGTAATCTCTATTGATCCGCTGCTATTCATACCAGAAACACTTGAAAATGGTATTTCTTAGAATATTTTGAATTCTCAGTGCTCTTCTCAGATAAACTGTCATCAGGAGAGCCTGTGTTTCTGTCTGACTTCTTTAGGAAATGAAGCTTGTGTCTTTGTGCTGTCGAGAAATCCATGATAGGTTTGAACCTGCTGGCTTATCTTACCCAAATTGATACATTATTTGCCTGTAAGGAAGCAGGAATCAAGATTGTTTTCTTATCTTTTCTCACAGCATTATTGATGTGCATAGTAACTATCTTTCAGAATTTTTCTCTGAAGTGTTTATTCTGTGGTTTCTTTTTTATAGATACACAATTAGTCTAAAAATCACCATGCTTCTTGAATCAAAAATAATTTAAAAAATACAGGAAATTATGTGGTAGTCACAGTTTTGATGCAATGGTATATGTTTGTGAATAACAGCTCTGGTAGCACACTGAGTGATGTAATAATAGGAAATTGTTGATTGATATCAGTGTAATTTAGAACAGAAAATAGCCTTTCTTTCAGAAGATATCTATAATATTTTGTTCTATTTGATGCCGAGGTGGTAAAATGTGCAACAGATTCACTCAGTGAAAATTGACTACATTTCATAGAAATTACAAAATGGGAAGAAAACAAAGCAAAGGGTTGAAGGATGAAGGAAATTATCTTCCCTTATTAATAGTTTTTTAAAAACAAAGCAACCTGTTCTCTGTTCTACCTCAATTAAAGGTGGAAGTAATTCTATACAAGTGAGGGAAAGAATAATCAGGAGGTTCCATTAAGATTTAAGAGCAAACTACTTCCAAAATGAGAGCTGCATATGTTTTGCCATGTTCAGATAAATGCAGACAGCATCCATCGTCTTCAGCTTATCTCTGCTTAGGTTAACAATGAACAGCTGAGATGTAAATATTGAGGGCTGGGGTAACAGAGCTGAAAGGAAAATTTGAAATAACTTTTCATCTTTGGCAGAACCATTAGATCATTCACCACAAGAAAAGCAATAAGCCTTTAGATCTGTGAGGAATTCACAGCCTTGGTGGCCCCTGGAATGTCTCTGCTTCTGGGTGCTCACATCTCCCAGTGTCCATACTCTGTTAGAGAGAGATCTGTGCCTTTCCCACTCAGATTTTGCCACAGAAAGTCTTGCATTTGTGTTCTCCGTGCTCAGTTATAATAAATCTCTCTATCCAGGGTGGAAACACTGATCTCAAAAATTTTAAATTGTTTCCAACGCAGAAAAGATAGCAATGGAAGTTACTGCTGTCACTGTATTTTAGTGATCACCTGGTAAATATTGAATAGGATTCAAAATAGACATCTTGAAACTTCTGCAACCAATCTTTTCTAGTTAGCTGGATGATGACACTCATCCAATAAAGCATTTACTTTCTGCAATGTCATTGTTTCACTGAATTACTCACATATGGGAGACTTTTTTTCCTGGTAATTTATCTCCCAAGCCTAGAATTCATTACAATTGCTCCTATAATATTAGAGGTTTTGTGTACACATCTGAGAAAGGTCTTAAGCAATATATTTACACTTGATGTTGCCTGGGAAGTAGGAAAAAACCTCACTCATTTTTTTTTTTGTGCAGATGGGCATTGCTGTGGCTGCAGTGGTTTCTAAGATTTGATTTTGGTATTCATTGGTGAGTTGGTGAAAACAACCCTATTAGACAACTTCAACACAGAAATAGCAGACATGCTTTTTCCTGCTTCATTCATTATCTCTCAGTAATCTCAACTGTGAAGGGAGTCAACTGCAGACTCCAGACCCTTTGAAATTATAATGCAAGATCCACTTTTATTCAGTGTTTTTCCTACTCTACAAGATAGCCGTTCTGTATGATTTTTTTGCCAATTAAAATTTAAGTGGTCCATCCTACCTCATTAATTGTATAACAGACACCATTTTGTCATTAAAGACATGGTAGAATTCTTAGGATTTACTGTTTGCTCTCAAAATTAAATCTCCAGTGACAAAATTGCAATAATTTTATTTCCCAAGTCCAGTGTTTCAATACCGTCCTTTATTTAATCCATATTATCATTTCCTTGAAAATTCAACTCTTTTTGCTCTGGCTGCAAACAGTGTTCTTCCCTGTTTTTCTTTTAATTATTTTTGAAACAGTTGCAATCACATTGTGAAATTACAGATACATGTTGCTATGTGAGACAGCCAATCCTGCCTCTCATGTATCAGTGTAGAGACATCAGAGACAGTTTTTTGTTAATGCTTATTGTTCCATTGACTTGAGTGAATTTTAGATGAGCTTCATTGTGAGTTTATCTGATGATGGACCTCTGGTGAGGATTAGGCATAACCTAACAGCTACTGCAAATTGCATTTGGCCTTTCCAATTAACCAGAGAATAAATAAATCAATGGAGGAATTAGTTCACTGAAGGGTCTCCTCAATGAAAACAAGCTGTGCAGGCACAGAGATGGCCATTAGTCAAGCTAAGCTGGGAAAGGCAGGCTTCAGAATAATGCTCTTTTTTTTTTTTTTCCTCTGAGCAGTGAGATTTAAAATTTCTATGGAATGAAAAAAAAAAGACTAATAGCATTCTTGAGAAAGAAAATTGTGGGAATGAGAGCATCAATTGTAGGAATGACTGAGAAAATTATTTAAATGACACTAAAATAAATATAGATTTAGACAAAAAAAGTATGATGAGCAAGTGATGGATTAAGCTTTTCAGTATCCAAGAAAGCTTTCTTTTGCATTTGACTCTAGTGGAGATGAAGAGATCATTTCACTCTAATTTGACAGGAAGGTGAAAGTACTGTGGATGAAAAATCGGAATAAAAACTGCCGGTTCAAAAACGTTTCAAATACATTTTACAGGAACATCAAAAGTAAAATCAGTCAAAGTTCACAGAATTAACACATTTGTAACATTTATTGAATGCAAAATTGGACACGTCTTGATGTAACTTCAGTGTTTTTTTCAAATAACATAACGAAAAGAAAACATTTTTGTGGCACAAAGAAGCTTCATGTTTCAAAAATTACTTAGTGGAATTTAACAGCTGAAAGCCAGGGAATTTCAGTGAAAAGTGCACTTTTGATAAGGTAAAGGAAAACAACACTTTGCAAAGATTATACTGCTATTTTCCATATCTATCTAATCTAAATTGTGAGGATCATGCAGTATCTGAGAGAGCACCTTCAGCAAATGATAAAAAGCATCAAATAAAATCTGCAAATGTAGATACATCAGCACTTAAGAATTGCATAAAATAAACTTTACCCCAGCAGTTTTTGCTCAGTGTCCCAAAGACAAGGCTAGACTATTATAACACTACTGAATCTGAAAAAAGAGGGCAGGAAATAGAAATACAAGGCACAGCTTCTGCTTCTAGCTTGGGTTGTGAACATTATGCTACATTAAAGGAAAAAAAAAAGAAGTTTGCTTTTAATAAGTGTGTTGTTCAAAAGTTTGCAGATACTTTAGCAGTTTGTGGAGAAGGAGATGTAAGGATAACTTACTCTGTGCAACATCTGTGATGTCTTCTCATTGAAAGAGAAATGGATTTGAGGGACTTGCAGTGAATAAAGCAATTTGTTGCAGAGAAAGTACAATTTGGCAGGGGGGGCGGGAAATGGAACTAATATTGGATTCTCTGCTTTGTAATTCGGTTCTGCACATCCCGATGCCAGCTGCAACCACAACTAAGATAAGCAAACCGGTGAAACTGCACTGGTTGTAAAAGCACAGGCCAGGGCTGCCCTAGCACAGGAGAGAGCTAAATCGCTGCCTTTTCTAAATAACCCCCAAAGAATTGCTGTCTCAGACACAGAGCGGCAGGACGTGCAGGCTTCCAGCAGCTCCTCTCACTGGTGCTGGAGCACCGGGCACAGCCAAAGGGATTTCAGGGGATTGCGAGGGAACCACAGGGAGCTGCAGGGCTGGGAACGGAGCAGAGCTGTGTCCCCAAACGCCGTGACTCTTGTCCTCCAGCAGCACACGCAGACACGTGAGTGACAGTCTCTGCCGAGTGATGTGCATTCCCTCTCTCACCCCTGTCTGTGAAAATCTCTCACACGTGATGCGCATTTCCCCTCGCACCCGTGTCTGTGACAGTCTCTGCAGAGTGATGCGCAGTCCCTCTCCGCATCCCTGTCCATGACACTCTCACAAGTGCTGTGCAGTCCCTCTCGCACCCCTGTCTGTAAAAATCTCTCACAAGTGATGTGCATTCCCTGTCTCACCCCTGTCCGTGAGAATCTCTCATAAGTGCT